GAAAGGCTCGGCGAGCCTGACTCGCGTCGAGAAAGGCTCGGCGAGATCGTATCGTGTGGCCCTTGTGCTGTGACTCACCTGGCAGAGCTCCTCGCACGGTGGACACAGCAGCGCGCCCTGGTGCAGCCAGCCGTACGCCATGATGCGGATGGGCACCTCCTGGCGCGGGTAGTAGCACGTGTACGTGTAGTTGGCCACCTGCGACACACCGCGTAAGAACGTCATGCTGCTCTTTCACACTGGGCAGTTAAAACATGTGGGAATAGTGGAGGATCCAGGGCCTTCCCAAAATATGTTTTAACTAACTGTGTCTCAAAAGAATGCTCGCATGCAGTTACTAATTCCAACTAATGGCTACCAGTTACATGAGCGAAATGCGTACACAGTGTAACACTTATCCATGCTTCAATAATTAAATTATGAATGTGATCATTTTCTCAGGTTGCGTTCCAGATTGAAAATTTAAGGAAATAATTTTAAAATAAGACAATAAAGTAGAAAAATAATAGTACTGAAAATTCAATTGTTTTAACAAAATTTTACTTAATTTGTTAAATTATTCTAGAATTTTGGAAGATTGAACCATGGCTTCCAAGGCAGAAAATAGACAATATTAATGATCGAATGATTTATAATATATTTTTTTATGATTGCCTAAAAACATGGGGTCTTTATACAAGCATGTTTCGTTGGCAAACACAAATTTTAAACTAAATTCATTTCAAATATTCCTCCAAAAATATGAATGAAAACTTGATTAGATCTCATTTTTGCATTAGAATTCTGTTTTACGAATACCTATCTTCTGACTGCCAGTCACACAACCAGAAGTCTAAGAGGCTAAAAATAAAAGCTTAATTCCACAAAACGATGTACCACATCAACATTATGTTTTCTTGGTAGTTTCAAGTGATAAGCGCTACTAATTTCATATTTAAAGTCCAAAAAACATAGAACGAAACCGATATCATGGTCTTTAACCTCTCGTCGAGATGAACATTTCGTGATCAGATTTCGTAAAATGAATATGGTATTTTGTCACGTTGCATTTTAATATTTCTCTAAGAAATGTTTTTTTTACGATGTTTCCTTGAAAGAAAACTCTTTACGGACACTACAGTATGCTGATCTTTGAAAGGTTAAACACTTTCAATTCTTTAAATGTACAGTGCTACAGTTCGGATATTTATAATTATATGCTATTTACTTGCATTACTTTGACAATGGTTCTCTATATAATTTACTAATCACAAGACGTCATGTCCAGTTCCTAATTATTTAATTCGCTGCGAGAAACAAGTTTTATGCAGTATCATTATTAATATATTAATCATGCGCGCCAATCAATTTTCATAACCTCATTAATACGGTCGCCGCTACATTAAAGACAAACAGGGATCGGTGCATTATAGACTTTCACATAAACGAGCGTTTTATCGATATTCGAATTTCAGTTTAACCCGATTCTATACCCTCTGGATTTTACCCACCCACCATTGTGCGAACGGCAAAACAACGCACAGAAAAAACAATGACCACTGATCACCATGTGTTGGGTGGTCGAGAAGTTTCAAAGGACACTCTCGCATAGTATGAATATATGGAATTTCGAAAGTGAATAATTTTGAATGACGAAACACTTTAATGAATTCAATTATTTTTGAGAGTTTTATATGAAGCGTGAATGAATCAATAAATTTAACACTATTCTAAATAATGAATTCTTATCGCAACGTCGGTGTAATGATCGATCGCGAATTGCGATACTGTTACTCGAGTATGTAATGATTGGAAAGGAACAAAATTTTTAAAAAAAGTTATGTACAAATTAAATTTACTCGCATCAGTCGGACACTTGCAATTCCATTCTTTACTCTTTAATTCCGTATTATTTGGGATCCTGAGCTGTTAGAATTCCTATTTCTCTGCATTATCGTACTATTAAAGTACCAACCAATCACAGAGGTATCCACACGGAATATGAGTTTGCCGAGCACAGCAGAACATAATTTTCGAGTTGGTATGCGTGCCTTGCAAAAAGTTCTAGGGTGCACACGTGTTTTATCAGATTTCTGAGAATGAACTCACTACTACTGCTCGAACAACCGTGACCCTCCCTTTTCAGTCTTCCCAACTCTGTCTGGTCACCAGGATATATCGTTATTTTTTAATCTTCTGATCCTCTCTGGAATCTACAGAAATATTGTTATTCCCAGCTCTTCTCCTTCATACCGAGTTGAAAGAGCGATGCATTTCGCAGCAACTTCTGGCGGATTCGAGTTCTGTTCGAAAATATCCACGGGCTGTATCTTTATTCCGATTTCCCCGAGGATTTCGGAGAAGTTATTGAGAGGGTACCTCATACCAAGACATCGAACCCAAAGGCCTCTGGTGTGGATAGTCGAAGCAGTAATCTACAGAGAGATGTCCCCCGAATAGAGAAAACAGCAGGGCATTTCGAAGCGATGCAAAAGCAAGCCTGGGATGGATTCCGCGTTTTGAAAAGTGTTTCTGGTTTTAGTAACTGCGAATCACGAATCACTAAGATGTCTGTGCGCTTCCCATTCCTTGTTAGATTTCCTAGTTTCTCTCGTAAACAATATCATTATCATCTTAATAATTATTATAACGTATTGTTACTATTTCTACGTATTGTTTTGCATTGTCTTACGAAAATAATGTCAAAATTGATGATGATGTTTGATGCATAAGGCGCCGCATGCATCGACACAAAATACCATAATTTTTCTAGTGTTGGAGAGGTATTACCTCTCTAGGGGTCCATCAAACACAATTAATCGAAAAAACGTAAAATTTAATAGAATAATCTATTACGCAATCAGCATATGTAATTCGTTTTACACGTTACTTTACTTGCGGAATGTCTTCTTAAATACTACCTCCCATTCCAAATTTCCTCCTCCCCCTCGTCGGTGCGTGACTCGTGAATTTACTGAAAATGTAGAACGCATGAGGGTGAATAACTTCACGTATGACTGTTACGGGTTATTCTTATTGTCACTGTTGTTGCGGATCTCGAATAAAATTTAAACAAGTTTTCTTTACTTCAGAGATTCCGTGTCTGTTCCGGTCTCGCAGAATTGTTCTACTGTTTTGACTTCAGAAATCTCTTCACGCCCTGGATTATGATGGAAACGGGGCCTGGGCCAGAGTTTTCTTTACGGAGAGCTCGGCAAGTAGGCATTTAATACAAGAACTTTTAAGTGAATACCTTTTTATGTGATATTTCAAAAAAAATCAGTGTACGAAATAATACATTTTCGCGTGCGTGTGTATACGTTAGGGGTGAGGATAGGACAAGGACGGGGGAAGGAAAGATCGCGCGCGGTCGTTGGCCCGTTCGTTAGGGCACTGCTCCGGCACTCGCCCGGTGTTGACGGGAGACTGACCTCGAGGTGCAGGCGGCCGGAGTGGCAGGCGTAGCGGTAGCAGCCCGACCCCCAGTGCTGCCACTGGCGCACCTGCCGGCACGAGCGCTCCTCCCACATGCGCGGCGGGTGGTCGAGGCAGAGGCTGTCGGGCCCGTACTGCTCCAGGGCGAAGTTCTTCTCCTCCTGCGGCGCGTTGTCCGGGAAGCGGCAGTGCGAGCCGCGCACCACCACGTTGCGCGACCGCCACGTGAACTCCTGGATGTAGGGGCAGAAGTCGGCCAGCGACACCGAGCCCCCGTAGTACGCCTCCTCGCCGGCCTTCACGTGCGGGATGGAGTCGAAGTTCTGCGGACACACACGTCGGTTATGAGGCACTCTGACGAGACACTGGGACCAATTCGAAATTGACGCTTCAAAGGAGTATTCCTATGTGACCGTTCTTATTGACAAACAGTCCTCATTCGCACGACAACTAGTCACTAGTTCGCATTAGGACCTTCATTCTCAATAGGGCCCTCATTCTCAATAGGGCCCTCATTCTCAATAGGGCCCTCATTCTCAATAGGACCCTCATTCTCAATAGGACCCTCATTCTCAATAGGACACTACCTACCCCCCCTAAAGAATTCCAATTTCGCCATCCTAATTACCTTTTACCTATCGTGATCTAAAGCGGCGTTGGCTTCTACTCTGAAAAACGATGACAATAAGTTCGGAAAATATTTTGGGTTCTTATTAATATAACATTTTACAACGGATAGGTAGATTAGCAATGTGGATAACCCATTGGAAGTGTATAAATTAGTCAAATAAGGCGCTCTTTGTATAAAAACACAATAATAATAATCGTGCGCAAAATCATAAAATAGCTGTGGCGAATGGAACACGTATATTTCTAATCACTTAAGGATTCTCTCATTCTGCGATCCCGACGAACGACTATGAAATACAGACCACTGTAACAAACATTTAAGACGATCACTAATTGCTTAACGATTTCCTCATTCCTTACGTGACGAGAATGAAATCGTCCGTAAAGGAAACAACTTTAATCGCTTTCAAATGACCCCTCGAACTGGTCGGGGGCTTTACAATTGTTACCAAACATTAGGGGAGCCCCTCAGCCCCATCCCCACAGGTAATGGGGAGTGGAAACTCAATTTAAAGATTGCCCGCTCCCTACGCATTCAAATAAACCGCAATCTAAACGGTCTCGGGGCTTCACAATCAGCACCAAATATTAGGCGCTCAGCTCGTTTATAAAGATGAGTAAATACTGAATTATACATGAAGTATAAGTCCAACAATGTATAATATTATTTACTATTCAATTGTAATACAATTGGACATCAAATACACCATTTTTACTCACCATCGCAAAAAAAAATATTTTACTTCCCCTTAGTTTAAAATGCTTTTTTAATGTATAAAGAAACACGATTTTCAACGTCTGAAGGTAAAAGTATGCCGATGAAAACAAAGTTAAAAACACAGAACGTTTCTCACTCACCCTGTACATGAGCGGCAGCTTGTCCGGGTGCTCGACGAGGTTGCAGAGCGCGACGGAGCTGCGGTCCTCGGTGCACTCCGTCTCCAGCGGGTCGCGCTTCACCTTGTTGCAGAACGGGTGCGGCGACTCGCCCCTGCGGCACACCCGCGTTTTCACCTCGTGCAACGGAACTCTCCCAATAAGACAGTAGTATTGCAATTTCAGTGTGCGTCAGCAATGTTTCACTTGAAGAGCTTAGTGCAAGGTGTTGACCCAAATGGTTAATCATTACTTCGAAAAGGTATTTCCGCTTGGTGGCATTAACGGACTCCGCGGGAAGGGTGAAGGGGGCATGGACATATCTAGATATATAATTTGGAATGAAAATTCGAACGTAATTGCACTTTTGAAAGACAGATTGACTGATCGATTGTTTCAAGGTACATCAAATGCTAGGGTCACTTGTCCTGTTAGAGTAGTGAATGCTTTATCGCAGGTTGTGGCTGTTTTTCTCCCCCGCTCGAGGGTGCGATTCGGCGCCGACCTACGTCCATCGGCTTGCGGAAGATTTCCTCCTTCGGGTACCTCCCCCAGTGTGGTAGAGTAGTGCTTGGAAATGTGGGATAAAAATGATTAGTGGAAGGACGAGGAAGAAAAAATGGCGTGGTATTGATCGGAAAAATCACGGAAACAACTAATCAGAGTAGCCGGCTGCTAGAATTGTCCTCCAGACAGCAGCTGAATTCAACGTACAAATGCATTGTATTGGAGTTCTGCAAAGACCACAAACAAGCATATTTTGGGTTATTTTTTATTTACTTTTAGGTCAAAAAACGTTTAGATCACATAAAACTCACAGCGCCTTCAGGTGGTTGTAGTGAAGTAAAGATTATTCTCGTAAGCTAACATTCCGCATTAAGCTCGTCAATTGAACCAATTAGTTCGAGAAGGCTACATCTCATCTCCCGTCCTGTGCGAGCGCGTGGCTAGAAAATGTCACATCTCCGGATAGGAGGGTTATTCAAAGTTAACAGAAGATCCCGTTTTAGATCATAACAACGTACACTAGATAACGTGGTGTTTACTCTTGTAACAAAGCTAAAAGCATTAGTCTGAATGATATTTACACTTAATTCATTTTTACAAAGAATATAGGCATTACTTTTCCGAAATAATCGATTTAATTGCAGATAAAAATAACGTGAGGCCGTAAATGAAAAGATAATTGTAGAGATTACAGACCAACTGGGACTCTTGCCGTTAGTTGATGCGGGAATGATATCCCAGTTTTACTTTGGAAATAAACATTGATATTCTTTCGGAAAGAGGACTAAAGAATTATTAAGAATACGGATTATTATCCCACACATCTTCAACAATAAATGAGGACAAAAAACTTTTCATTTGCTAATTATCATTTTATTTCAATTTTTTAAATGAAGAGTATTTTCTATAATTGAAATAACACGACATATGAGAGTTTAAAGGGAAAGAAACTCTAGTTACTAAATTTCCGTTCAACGAGTCGCAATAATAGGGTGAATGCCTAAAAGAAGAAAAGTGACTAGGAGTTGAATCGAATCCCGAATAATACGTTTGGCAACACCGCAAATTGCAAAATAAAAAGTTTACGATCATTCTCAATGGTCGTAATGAAGATTACGGTTATTATCAATAAGGACCACAATTAAATATTCAAAATACTAATAAATGGGAAAACAATAATAAGTTACTTTAAATTATTTTTATCACGTTCAGACAACACACTTCAGCGAAAAAGAACTCTACATTCATGCACTCACATTAAATGTCTTATATCCGCACTGAAAATGGAAAACATCCGAATTCCGCTGCTTCCGACGGAAGACGCCAGAGGCCGCGCCGGGCGGAGAGCGCGGGGAGGCTGCATTCAGGTCACGCCCCGGCCGCCTTTACCTCGGACGGCGGCAGCCCAATAATCACTGAGCACAGCCCCGGAGCTGCTCGGAATAGTGACGACGAGGTCAACTCGCCAGAACTCGCGATTTTCATTACGAACTCCGTTCGACCGTTAACTCCATCTCGTGAATCGTAATATTTAAAATACAGACGAACCTGACATATGCGGTCACCAATAGTTCCGTCAAAAATAGATCGTTATGTGAGGTGGCCGCTTAATTAAGATTATGACGTTATGGGAAGCGTATTTCAGATTTTATCATGATAAATGCTGTAAACTAAAAATGTTTTCGGTAAAATCGTTTCACTCCTCCAAGAATAAGCCAACCATATGATCAGACGTTCTTGAAAGCCAATTCGTTAATTTCTTATAAAATCATTGATTTTGGAAACAATTAAAAAAAAATTCGCAGCAGAGTAATACCGTACTTTCTGAATACACGCTTGCGAATGCTATTCACAAGATCGACATTTCTGATAAGACAATATAAAATGACAATGTGCTACAAGTTGCTTAAAATTGAGTTGCATGTATTCTATACGAACAAAGGTATTTACATTTCGTAAAATTAAGTTGAAGACTCGTACTTAGTAGTGCTAGTATACAAATGTGTTTTGACTACATATGTTTTTATAAACACTGAAAATTAATTGCTCAGGCCCAAGATCACTGCGAGACTACCTACTACCTTGAGCGAAGAGAGTACGTTAGGTATTGATAATTTCCAAAAAATATTGACCCCAGGTTTTATTTAAAATAATTTGCATGAAATCAATTGTATTCACAAATTGCACTTATCACTTGGGCAGTCTCAAAACGTAATCTCGCAGTATAGTGTCTATTCAAAATGTGTTAGCTTTAGCAGAATGTACTTTAGATATTTTTCAAAATAAGAAAAATTAGGGACTACCCATTTTTTGCTGCATTTTACATCGATTTCGATTAACGTCACACGTTTTCGTAAAATGTACGATGATAGTTTGTGATAGACATTAAGAAGTAAGGTAGTCTGGTACTATTTACAAAAGAAATATTAGATTCTAATGCAGCCTGATAATAACCTTGACAGTGGATCTAGTCTCGCGAGCAATAGTTCCCCATAGTAACTCTTCATTTTCTTTCCGTTCGCCTGCACGTCGAGTCTGTTGCGATAACGATTTGTACAGTTTTACGCTCAACTAGCTACAGTTGGCGTCCTATACTTGTGGCATAGTCGTTCTCGACGAACATCAACTGTCACCGATATTGAAAGCTTAGCGATATTACGCCAAACGACGGAGAGGAAGTTGCCCGGTATCAGCAGATGCAAAAAATACACCTGTCAATAGAAATGTTCTTCTACGCGATTCAGCTATACTTTTAGAATAGAGAATACAATTATATATAGACAAAGTTCTATATATTGCAATCGCTGAAGTGCACTTTAATGAGAACAGGAAGACGTCTGTTTGTACGGCGTGTCTCGCTTACAGGCAAACACGAGCATTGCACAAAGAGAGCCACAGAGAGAATTCCTCAACGTAATTAACAGGGAGCGAGGGCAGGGTCAGGTAGAGCACACGCGACCCTTGTGCAAAATGTAGCAAAGGACCACATCAAAGCTTCTCAGCCTCCAAGCAGCTCCTATTACGAGCGAACATGCTTCCTCTGCATCGTACGTTTTTAATGTGCCAGAGAAATCGAGAAATTTATTTTCAAACTAAACGAACGAAACATAATTACACGCAGATATACGTTTTATTAACTTATCGCAACGCGATGAGAATTTCCTAGGCGAGCTACGACCTCTGTTTACATTTTACGAGTAATACTTTGAAAAGGAATGATTACTGCGAAGTGTACATTCTTCATTTTATCACACAATCACTTAAAATTTTTAAATCACTTTATCTCTCATCGAAGATGAATATCGTTTCTTTCAGTTCGTCCATGAATTATTCAGTGTATGATTCGCTCTTTCACATGTTTTAACTCCGCGAGTAAGAAGATATTGTCATGTAACTGATCTCCGCTTGTTTATAATTCTATTTTTAATTGACGTAAACATTAATAACAAAAAAAGGATTTCAAAAAAACATAGACAAACTATTGATCGTTTTAATATTAAGTTTCCATCTTTGATGCGAAAATAATACGTTAGTTTTCTAATAACTCGAATGTGCAACCAAAAATACTGTTTTCATTTTGAAATGTTGAAATAACTCTCGGTCAGCTATAAGGGGAAATGGAGTGGTGTATGTTTTAATTGGATTGCTCTTGAAAATCCTCCACTTCTGCCCGAACAAACGTTTGTAATCCGCTTATTCCGACAGATAATTGTGCCTTAGAGATATCTGCCATCAGGACAACAAATGAAAGTCATGTGTGTGTGTGTGTGTGTGTGGGTGTGTGTGCGTGTGTAAAAATGCGTGTCTGAAGGAAGGAATGAGCGTGTGATTGAGAGAGGTCGTATGAGCGTGTGTCTATGGCTCCGCTGGGTATATGGGACCGTGTATGTGTGTTCGCGAATATTTGTAAACGGATTGGACCCGTGCGATCAATCCGTGCTTTTTAAATCATTGTTTTAAAAGGTAAAATAGCTTCAGTCAGGAGTGCGCCTTCCAAAGTTTCTCACAAGCCCAAGCTGCAGAGTGAGAGTACCTTCCAAAAATATAAAAGAAGTTTCGTTAGGATCTTCAATTTGCGATTACGGCGTATGTGCGGAATTATACCATTATAAGGGTCACAAAATAGCGTTTTGAGGCCTTAGAGCTCATCTATCTCGAGTCGGGCACGACGGTAACGTGTGTTGCAGAGTAAGCTGTGTTTTGTCGTGCTGCATGTTGTTTGTGCATCTCTTGATTTCTGTACGTCGTAATCTGAAAAATTGATGAATGTTGCGCCTTAAATGTTGATACGCCCCAAGGAGGTAATTCTCTACCTATCAGCAATATGTTTTCATAGGATCGTTTGTCAACGGTGTCTTATAAACCCTTCCCTTCGCGGAGATGCGTATGTTTGTGTGCATGTGTGTGTGTGTATACGCGTGTGTGTACGTGTGCGCGAGTGTATGCACGGGCGTGTGCGCACGAATGTGTGCTTGTGCGTAGGAACGTGTGCGTGTGCGTACGAACGTGTGCGTATGTACGTGAGCATGTGCGTATGTACGTGAGCACGTGCGTATGGACGTATGCATGTACGAACGAACATGTGCGTGTGCGTATGAATGTGGGCGTGCGTGTAGATGTGAGCGCACGAGTGCGCGCGGCGTACCTGGCGGCGCGGCTCTCCATCCAGTCCTTGCAGCTGCGCATGGCGAAGTCGCAGCCCAGCCCCTTGCCCCAGAAGAGCGGCTGCGCCAAGCTGTAGTTGGCGCGGTACCAGCCCGTGTCCTCCAGCAGCGCCAGCGTCAGCCGCGAGTACACCGGGTTCTGCGTGTGCGTCCCGGTCATCGCCTCGTTCTGCGCACGAGAGCACCGCAATAAGGATCTTCGCTTGCGCAGGTTGGGGACATTCACACATTACGATGACTGAACTATATTAGTGATTGGTGCATAGAAATATCTGTGAGCAAGTAAATTAGGATCTTGTGGCGACAAATTTGACAACAAAAATGCACCAAGTAAATAAAATCATGATCCTTAGACGTATTATACACAGAGTAGAAAAGAGAAAAAAGATGCAGCATAAACTCAAGAGAAGTCACACATAAACAAAAACAAGCTATCAATGTTTTAATATAAGATATTATATAACAGGACAGGGGAGGTTAATCCGAACTACTCTTCGCATATTAGTAAGCGGATAACATGGGCAAGTGTGAAACCGGGGTAAGAAACCCTCAATAGAGCAGTTAACCAAAAGCATCAAGTTTCAGTTTGGGTATTAGTGAGCAGTAACCAATAAGGAAAATTAACTGTGATGAACTCTTTGCCACAGAATCCGTAATTCACAAGAATGCGAGATAATTAAGGTTTATGAAATGTAACAAATACATAAAATACAGAAACGAAAGGGAAAAAAATCGTAAAATACACAAAGAAAAAAGATACAAAGAAGAGAAAGAACGATAGAAAGGAGGAAAAAGAAAGTTCATGGAAGAACAATCAGGCAAAGGGGAAAAGACATACAAGAGGATAAAAAAGAAAGGGAAGAAGAAGAAGCACGAGAAAAACACAAAATGGAATATGAAACAGACAATGTGAAGGAAGGAAAACATAAGAAAGAAGAAGAAGGATGGCACAAGTGAGAAGAAGAAGAAGAAGAAGAAGAAGTAAGAAGATAGAGGGAGAGGCTCAAGAAGGAAGAAGAAAGAAGGAAGGTACAATGGCGAAGAAAGGCCCAAGATAGAAAAAGATAAATACAGAAAAGAGGAAAAGCAAAGGAGAAGAAAAAAGACCCAAGACGATGAAGTCAGAGGGAACGGAAAGGGATGGGGAGGGGAGGGGAGGGCGGGGCGGTTGCCTAAAGCGGCGCCATCGCAAAGCGCAGCCGTTTTCGTCGCACTTCGAAAGAGCCGCTTTCTCCAGTGGGTGAGCGCGGTGCCGTCTCGCCCTGGTCCCCTCCAGCTCGGCGCCCTCGAGCCGCTCCGCAGGCGAAGTGGCGGCGCGCACCTCGCGCACCAACGCGCGCGCGTCACCAGCAGCTGCACGTGGCGCGCACGCCGCCGGCCGGCCACGCCCAGCGTCTCGCGCAACTCGCGCCCGCGATCACGCGCTCGCTCCACTGGCGCGCCTGCAGCCGCGCGTTCAGCTGCGGCTTGCCCAGGCGGCCACGCGGCGTCAGCGGCGCGCCGGCGTCGTCGCGCAGAGGCGCACAGCGACAACCCGAGAAGCCCAGCGCGTGCATGCATCTCGTGCTTCACCGCGACACAGCACCTGCAGCTCTGCGGCTTCGTGCTTGATGGCGCCCGGCGCAACAGGTTCGCGTGGCCGCCACCGGCCTGCATACGGCCATCCACGGCTTCCACACACACACGCACAAAATCCGTCTTCACCCCCCCCACCCACCCCTCAACATGCGTTAGAACTTCAGCTAACGTATACTTATGAAATGCCCTCTGCAGGAGGGCAAAGTTCTAGGGCCTGTGGGAGGCTTCAAAACAATCTTTTTTTTCTTCAAAGAATACATGGTAGGCAGGGCCCGCGCTAGACATGGGCAGACCAGGCGGTCGCCTGGGGACCTGCAAGTCAAGGGTCCGGTGATGGAACTGATGGTAAAAATTACTAAAAAAAATGAAAAAGAAAGCGGAGGTCAAGAAAAAATAGAAATCAGACACAATTTTTTTGAACTTAAATGGGATTGTAGACATGATTTATACGGTAGGACTCTATGGAATACATTAAATGACGCTAGCATTAAAGTAGGTTCTAATGAAATTCATGTTTATTATTTCATGTATTTAATAAGTAATTTTATTGACCACTAACAAAACAGAAGTTAACATGTGACATTTGCTCTTGACTGGTTTATGTATCGAAACGATTTCGTGCACTTTTCTATCACCAGTGAACGATGGGCTGTATACCAACCAAGCACAAATAGCATACATGTAGCTTCGTAATAAGAGATTTCCCATCTCATATTCAGTGACAAATACTGATTGGTATGTACTGATAATCGTCGACCCGCCTGCATGCCCTAGAATTTGGTAACATACTGAGAGACATTGTAGCGCCAACAACGGACGTGCTCGGTAGTCGACATTTTTAACTCATAAAGTCTGTAATTTATGATATATGCCGTGTGTTGTTGTTTAATACTTTTCATCATACCAGCTTCTGTAGGAAAAAATAATTTCAATAAGAAATACCTCTTCTTGGAATAAAACTACTAATTTGCTATATTTAGTTACAGCTCATTTGTCCCCAGTGTTCTTTACACATGCTGTTAAAATGCTTAGGAGCAGATTTTCATTCGTCTGTTTGTTTGTGTTAACTACATATTACAATACATTTTCACAAATAACACAAACCAAGATACGATTAGGCTCCAATTTATACATGACCAGCAGAAGTTTCGTGACCTTGCTGTCTATCATAATCATCTATTACACACACAGCGATAACTTTGCAACGTATTTATCTAGTTTAACAAGGAAGTAATTTCATTTACATCCCCGCTCAGTTCCGTTCCGTTCGGCTCCGCCCCAATTCGCCACCACCCATGTTCCGCCCAACCGGCGGTCCCCGACCAGCCCATCCCTGTCTCGCCTACCCATGACCTGCCCTGCCCTGCCGCAGTCCAGCTTCGACCATGCTCCGCTCTGCCCTCCATTCTACCCAGCCGCTAACTCACAATCCTTCATGGCTAGATAATTGGAAATCACTTTAAAGTAATATTAATTTTAACAATGACATTTAATGTATTATATATCATTTGGATTGTATAATTGTAATACATTCAAGTTTCAGAAAGAACAAAAATCTTATTTTCTTCAGTTTTTGTTTGTTTCGTTTCTTTATGTACCCAAACAACAGCTAAAAATGTGTGTGACGTGCTATGGGGAGAAGTTAATTTGAAGTTACCATTTAGGTCCAGAAGCAAAACAAGGGCCATCTCACATTTGCCTCGAGGATTAGGGAAAGCTGGACGACAACCTTGCATCGAGTGGGGGTCAGTTTGACCAAGAAGTTGAACTACAAAACTTTGTTACAGATTCAATACAATTATACAATCCAAATGATATATAATACATTGAAAAATGTCATTGTTAAATTAAATTACTTTAAAGTGGATTCCCAATTATCTAGCCATGAAGGATTGTGAAGTTAGCGGCTGGGTAGAATGGAGGGCAGAGCGGAGCATGCGTCGAAGCTGGACTGGGCGCGCAGGTCAGGTCATAGCGAGACAGGGATTGGCTGGTTGGGACAGCCGCGTTGGGCGGAAATGGGGGGTTGCGAATTTGGGGCGGGAGCCGAACGACGGAAACTGAAGCGGGGATGTAAATGAAATTTACTCCTTGTTTAAACTGATAAATACGTTGCCAAAGTTAGCGCTGTGTTGTGTAATAAGATGATTATGATAGACAGCAAGTCCACCCGAAAACTTCTGTGGTCATGTATAAATTGAGCCTAATCTATCTTGTTTGTGTATTTGTGAAAATGTATTGTATATGTAGTTAACACAAACAAACAGACGAAGAAATCTGCTCCTAAGCATTTTAACAGCATGTGTTAAAGAAACACTGGGGACAAATGAGTTGTAACTAAGAAGCAAATTTAGTATTTATTCCAAGAAGAGGTATTTCTTATCTGAAATTATTTTTTCCCCTACAGAAAGCTGTATGATGAAAAGTATTAAACAACAACACACGCAGATATCATAAATTACAGAACTTTATGAGTTAAAAATCGTCGAACTACCCGAGGCACGCCCGTTGTATGGCGCTTACAATGTTTCTTCAGTATTTACCAAATTATAGGCATGCAGGCGGGTCGACGATATATCAGTACATTACCAATCAGTATTTGTCCACGGAATATAGATGGAAATCTCTTATTACGAAGCTACTGTATGCCTATTTGTGCTTCTTGGTATACAGCCCATCGTTCACTGGTGATAAAAGTGCACGAAATCGTTTCGAACATAACCAGTCAAGAAGCAAATGTCACATGTTAACTTCTGTGTTGTTAGTGGTCCAATAAAATTACTTATTAAATACATGAAATAATAAACAGAATTTCATTTAGAACCTACTTTAATGCTAGCGTCATTTAAGGTATTCCATAGAGTCCTACGTATAAATCATGTCTACGAATCCCAGTTTAGTTCAAAAAAATTCGTGTCTGATTTCTATTTTTTCTTGCCTCCGCCTTTCTTTTCATTTTTTTTAGGTAATTTTTTACCATCAGTTCCATCACGACCCTTGACTTGCAGGTCCCCAGGCGGACGCCTGTCTGCCCATGTACTAGCGCGGGCCCTGGCCTACCATGTATTCTTTGTAAGAAAAAAAAAGATTGTTTTGAAGCCTCCCACAGGCCCTAGAACTTTGCCCTCCTCAGAGGCAATTTCATAAGTATACGTTAGCTGAAGTTCTAACGCATGTTGAGGGGTGGGTGGGGGGGGTGAAGACGGATTTTGTGCGTGTGTGTGTGGAAGCCGTGGATGGCCGTATGCAGGCCGGTGGCGGCCACGCGAACCTGTTGCGCCGGGCGCCATCAAGCACGAAGCCGCAGAGCTGCAGGTGCTGTGTCGCGGTGAAGCACGAGATGCATGCACGCGCTGGGCTTCTCGGGTTGTCGCTGTGCGCCTCTGCGCGACGACGCCGGCGCGCCGCTGACGCCGCGTGGCCGCCTGGGCAAGCCGCAGCTGAACGCGCGGCTGCAGGCGCGCCAGTGGAGCGAGCGCGTGATCGCGGGCGCGAGTTGCGCGAGACGCTGGGCGTGGCCGGCCGGCGGCGTGCGCGCCACGTGCAGCTGCTGGTGACGCGCGCGCGTTGGTGCGCGAGGTGCGCGCCGCCACTTCGCCTGCGGAGCGGCTCGAGGGCGCCGAGCTGGAGGGGACCAGGGCGAGACGGCACCGCGCTCACCCACTGGAGAAAGCGGCTCTTTCGAAGTGCGACGAAAACGGCTGCGCTTTGCGATGGCGCCGCTTTAGGCAACCGCCCCGCCCTCCCCTTCCCTTCCCCAATCCCTTTCCGTTCCTCTTGACTTTCAATTCGTCTTGGGTCTTTTTTCTTCTCCTTTGCTTTTTCCCTTCCTTTTTCTGTATTTATTTCCTTTTTTCTAATCTTGGGGCCTTAATTCGCCATTGTTACCTTTCCTTTCTTTTTTTTTCTGTGTGTGTGTGGTGGTG